AAAAAAAAAAAAAAAACCCAACGACCCAGCCCTGCGCGGCGATGCTAAGCTGTGTATTAACTGTGCCGGAGTTAGGAACAAAGGTTTGGGGGTGGGTTGGTTGGTTGTTTTTTTGGTGTGTTTTTTTTAATCGAAACACCTCGGTGGAGTCCAGCAGTCCGTTGTGGAAGAGCGCGAGCTCCCAGGAGGTTATCGCGTTGTAATCACCAGTCCCCACCAGTGCTCGCAAGGGTGCGCGCGGGCTTCCAGCCTCGGCGTTATTATAGTGTTTCCACTTTGGCTCGGAGACTTTCTTAACATGTGTTCTGGTCTCTGGAGACTTTAATCAAGTTCAGACTTTACCAGAAATTACCTCAAAACTTGAAGGAGGCAGAGGAAACCGAAAGCAGCAGCGGAGGGGAGGCTCCGCCGTGCTGCGAGACCGACGGAGATGCAGCCTTCAGCGCGGGGAGAGAGGAGATTGCAGGAGAAACGTTAGTGCAAATCAAGCAGCCGAGCTGAAAGGTGAGTTATCTCCCCCTACCCCCAAAAAAAGCAGCCGTGCAGGTACCGGAAGGGCCGAGGTTCAGGCACAAACGCATCTAGGAAAGCTCAGGACCGTCCTGCTGGAAGGCCGGCGTTGGCCACGCGAGGGCGAGGAGCGGTTTGCTGCCAGTGCGTTTTCAGTAAGTGGTGGGGTTTGGGCTTTGGTTTAGTTTTTCTTTTTCTTTTTTTCCCCTCCTCTTTACCACAACTACTGAGTTTATGCGTGTTTGTGCAGACAGCCGCTGCCTTGCCGCTATATATAGCAAGGCGTGGGCTAACGCTGCCTTCAAAACAGGTAGCCGGGCCTGATCCTTGCCCTGGCAGCTTGCAAAATGCGTCGTAGGTAGCGGCAAAGGGCTGCCGGTGCCGAGAGCCGTGGGGGCAGAAGCTGGTTTTACAGGGAGGTCTGGCGGGGGGTCGGCACCCTTACGGGACGCTCCGAGTTCACGTCTTGCCCGGAAAGCAATGGCTTGGCCGTTCGGATTTGGGGTTTATCATTATTGTTTCCCAGTACGTGCGTGTGCGGGTCCCACGTTTTCCCCCAGTCTTCCCTTTCCGCACGGAAAGTTGGCGCCGTGCAATTCAGGTCCCCGCTGCTTTGGGATTTCGCCGGCCCGCCGTAATGTTATTTGCGAAACGGCGTTAAGGGCTTCAGGTATTTTTCTCTATTTGTTGCACAACCTAGTTGCAAACTGCGTTCAGCCCTTTCCGCTGGGCGGTAATTCTAATGCAGGGAAAGTAAGATGTATTTTTTTTTTTTTTAACTTCCTTTTTTAAGCCAGGGGAGGGGGCGGGTGAACTTTGCGCCTGGCCAGAGACGTTTGTGATCGTTCAAGGATGAACGGAGCAGTGTTTGAGAGGCATCGAAACAGAAAGGGATAATAGGAAACAATAACAAATATCTGCTTTTCAGTTAAGGATTTCAAGCGTTAGCATGATGTTACAGCAGGCTTGAGTAGGAGGTTTATATAGCAATGCAAAAACATCCGACTGGTTTTTTTTTTTAAACCTGACTCCTAAGCGTCACGAAGCCGCTCGAAAGACTTTGGTTCTTGTAAAATATCGGTGTCCTGCGTGATGAATCATGAAACTAAAATCATGGGAGAGATCATATGTTAAAGCCATTATTCCAAGCAGCTGCTCATATGATTTAATTGGGTCTCTCTTGCCGGGGGAGGTTAGTTCTGGTCACACGTTTGAAACCGGGTAAGCCGACAGCCCGAGTCGCTGCTGCTTGCTCTTCGGCGCTGCGTCCTGCCCGCTCGGAGACAATCTGGGGTTTTCTCCCACCCGCCCGTTCAGAGGCTGGCGGGGAAACCGTGTGGGTTTGCAGAGAAGAATAAAGCCGAAACCTGCAAAAACGCCCTTAAACCACTCGGCTCGGGTCTCACCCGACACTTAAACGAGGCTCTTTTACGGCACCTTTCACTTCTCAGCCGTACGCTACGGACGTGGCGTCGCGCCCCGCTCTCCCCCTCGCGCGGGTTCGGGGCAGAAAGCCGTGCCGCGAGTGGAGGGGCAGTGCGGGGGGGGCGGTCCCCTCGGCGAGCGGGCCGGCTGTTGCTGCCCGTGCCGAGACGTGCTGGGAGCTTATTTAAACGGTTTTGGAGAGGAGTCAATTATCTGCGTGCTTGAAGGTCGTGGAGGGGAATTTCTGCCGAATGAGGAATCGGTCTCGGAAACCGCAGGAGGGGAAGGGAAGAAAAACCTTCCTTATTACAAGGCCTTCTGGCTGCTTTGAACATTTCGGTCTAATTAATTAGGATTTCGGGTACAGAGGGGCCTTGGCTGTAGCCTGAGCTACTTGGATGCAAATCCGTGCCGTCTGCCTGATGCAACCTTTAACTTAAAGGACTGCGTGCGTGTGAAAGAGGGGAAATAGCTGGATGAGAAGATCACAGCGGGAGAAGAAAAATCCCGGCTACAGTTCGTTCTGCCCTGCTTTGTTTTCAGGATCGCCGAACTAGGCGCTGGGTTTCTGGTAAGGAGCCGCCTTGCTGGAGACGGGAGACTGTGCTGCGGTTATTGTAGGATGCCTTTCGCCGGGGACGAGGAGCAAGAAGACAGTCGGCGCCTCTGGGCCTGTTGGTGCCCCCCGCTTCGCCTGCGTTTCAGGGGGTTATTTCTTTCCTCCGAGACGAACGCTGCGCCCATCGCCCTTGTGAAGGCGCCTGACGCCCTTGTGTTTTCTCCCTTTCTTTGCAGCCTACCCATGAGCTCAGATTTCCAGCATTACAGTTTCAGGATGCCTAACATCGGGTTCCAGAACCTGCCTCTCAACATATATATCGTGGTTTTCGGCACAGCCATCTTCGTCTTCATCCTCAGTTTACTCTTCTGTTGCTACTTGATCAGGTAAGCGAACCGCCCTCGCTGTTTTCAGAAGGTGTCCCGGTTCAGACTGGGACCGGTCCCGCGAGGTGCTCAGCATCTCCTGCTCTTCCTCAGCATCTCCTGCTCCCGATAACCCAACGTTGGGTTGCTCTGGCTGCTGCCTAGAGAAGGACGCACGTCCTGTGCTCCTCTCTGGGCGCAAAAGGAGCGTTGGCAATAGTCACCCAGGTCAGGTTAAGTGGGTCTGAGCCAGGTTGTCAATGTGGCTGCCGCAAAGTAGTAGATGAGCGTCGCGTTGTCTTTCCGCAAGGAGTTTCATGCGCTTGTATCTTGACAGTTTGATGTGTCCCATGAAATATTTCAACTTTCCTTTGAAGTCAAATAGTTGGCTCAGCCACTTAGCATCAGATACAACATTCGTCCCCAATGGAGTAAATAGGTCCAGAGCACGCACAGTGAGTACCTAACACGGTGTTCCCACCGTATCTTGGAGGTAACGATTGCAGGAGGCAATTATGTTATTCCCCCTTAAAAACAGGGCTTTTATTTATGCGTATGCCTAAGCAACCATATTTTCATGCGTGTTTACGTGGGCTTCTCAAAAAGCCTTGAAATAGATGTTTGTTGTTTTTTTTTTTTTTTACGGTTCCTGCTTTCTGCTTAACATTTCATCACATTTCCCTCTTTAATGAATAACTTGTGTGCTTAAGAAATGTTTAATACCTGCTCCATTTGATACTGTACACAAATTGCTCATTCAACAGCACAGCTGAGAGATTAATGATGCAGAGTTGATTTGTTAATCCGAAAGGTGGAGGGAGCAAGGGATTAAAGGTTATTCCAGTTCAGGGGGGTTGTTTTAATTATTTTGTAGGCCAGAGGGCAGACAGTTCGACTGGTAATCGAGAGGTGAAACCCTTCCTCCCAGGGGGAAGAATGAGAGGCAGGTGGGGAAAAAGGCTGCGTCCGGGAGTAGGAGGTGGACGGGGGAAGAAGTTGCGCTGGTAACTCGGCCTGCGGCTTTCAGCACGTTTCGGGGCTGGCTGTGCCTCTCCCTCCGGCCAGGAACAAAGGGTGTCGTCGTGCGAGTGCCGTCCGCTGGCAGCGTCGCGCTGCTCCCGTACCTCCCCGAGTCCTGCCAAATCGCCTTTCCCTCCCTTCCTTTTTATCCCCTCTTGCTTTTCGGATGGCCCCGGCTCCGTGCTAGCCGTATCTCAGTCAGTTCCCCTCCCTCCGTGCCCCTGAGACGCGCGTGTGGTCTCTTCTTGCTCCGTTCCTCTTTGCTTTAGACCAGGGGAATGCGGTTTCACTGCTCTCTTGGAGGACTTGAGAGTTGGCGTGTGTTTTCAGCTCTTGAACCGCCGACCAGAGCCAAGCCTTGTAAAACTTGCAGGTGAGCCCAAAGCCGGGCCGCAGGCTGATCTGGGCTGCCTGGTACTGAGATCTTTGCGTTTGTCTGCGTTATGCACAAGGGAAACGTGTAGGAATGTGAAAAGCATCTGTCCACCCCCGGCAGCGAAGGCAGAAACAGCTTGAGGGGTCGTCCCCGACCGGGCGATTTTTATCTCAGTATTTGATGTTAACGAGCTCTGTGCTGGGGTACTGCGTCTGCTTCCAGTGTTCTCGTTTTAACTGGCATGCCGATGGGAGGGGACGCAGAAAAAGGCAAGCGGTGTTCAAAAGGCTTTGGGACACGCTTTCCCCGGGTTGAGCTGAGTCTATATGGCTTGCTTGCAAAATGAGAAGGTGTTTGGCTTTTTTTAGAGCGAGTGTTTTCCTGGGCACTGGGTATAACTGGGTGTGTTCTGCCCCAAAGAAGAAATAACAAGTAGTAATGTCTGGAAGATCAAGCCAGAAAATCTTTAAATTTAGAAGTTGGAGGCATGTTGTAAGAGAGAGGGTGAGTAACCGCTGAAACAAGCCAGCAAGGGAAGTGGCGAGCTGTGTGTCTCTTGATGTCTTTAAGTCAAGACGGAGTGCCTTTCTGGAAGAGATGTTTTGGCTCCCATTCCCAGGAGTAACGAAGTGCTATTTCCCAACCTGTGATAGGTGGGAGCTTGGATTAGATCATCTCATGATCCCTTTATAGCCCTAAACTCCATTGAGACTCTGTGAATCTCTCTTAAAACCACCGGCAACTGTTCAGTTATGTGCAAAATGGTGCCAAACCGGAATCGTCCTTATGCGAAGCAGCCCCTGTTTTGGAGGGTTTATCCATGCCACGCTTCTCTGGATGTGTAGATTTGTCCCAGGAGCATCCATCTGCTACATAACGATGCTGCCAAATCTCAGCTTGAGTGGGGTATAAAAGCTCCAGCACGTGCTCGGAGAGCCTCACCGGTGGTCAGCGGGAGGAGGACGGCAAGCCTGCAAGCACAGAGCATCCCGAAGGATCGCTCCGGCAAGGGTTTGCATTCTTGCTTTCTTGCAGTGCTGCTTCGCTCAGAGGCGCTGCCAGTGCCTGGCTGAGCTGGCTCGTCGCAGGCAAAAACCTGTTGCCCTGCAGCGGCGGGAGGATTTGATATACTTGGAGGCAAAGAAAGATGAGTTGAATGCTCCCTCCAAAGCAGCTGCTAAAGCCTCCTGGGTTAGCCCATCCTTTCCCGACCTCTTCTACAATGAGATGCGTGGCTTTAATACAGGTTTACATCTGGAGGCTGTATAAAAGAGAAGTGTTAATTTAATGATTAGGCAGATGCAGCGTAGATGAGAGCGTGTTGTCAGAGAGCCTCGATGAAACCAGGGCGGAGGGTAGCGGCGAGCGAGACTGAGCTTGCAGGGACCGTGTCCCAGTAGGAGCTCCGGGGTTCCTCTTGCACGCCGCGGGATTGTTTGCACGTGGCAGGAGATCCTGGTTCTTTCCAGGGCTGAAGCAGGGCTTTGCTCAGGTGCAGAAGTAATCCGGCCCCTCGTCTAGCTCTCCCTCTTCTTTCGTGACTAGCACATCTGCAAATACTTGGCAGATACCGAGCGGAGCTTGTGACACAGTCCTGCAAGCCCTGTTTCTCTTCGTCTGCTCCTTATCAGAGCATCCTCCTCCGCACCCTGTAACGCGTGAGACGGGCCAGCTGGGGAGGGATTCGTGGCGTGGGAGAGCCAATACCTGGCATATTTACCCTTCATCTGCGAGCTGACAGCATTAAATTACGGATTTGCCTTGGGAAAAGGTCAAGCGGGCTGTGTCTGGCAACTGTGTCAACAGACGAGATTGTACTCTCGGCTCCAGAGGCTCCAGGGGAGGACGAAGAATTGGACTTCTTAGTAAGGTTGGCTCCAAATAGATAAGAATTTTGCCCAAAAGAAAGCAAGAGAAGATAACCTTCTGTGCACAGGCCAGTCGTATCTAAAGCTCTTCTCACTTTAAATACCACTCTGATGCAAAACACTAGTCCCAGCCTTGAAACGCTCTCAGCTGTTAGCTGTTGTGTGGGCGTCTGGTACCTCTGTTTAAAAATAGAAAATGAGGAAAAAAAAAAAAAAAAAAAGCGGGGGGAGGAAAAAAAAAGGAAATGAAATTTTGCAGGCAGCCATTCATGTCTGACCTCCGCCGCAGCTTTCAGGGGAATTAATGAAAGTAATAACCTTATATTGCCTTCAGCCCCATAAAACCGGTTTGAGAGGATACCGAAACTAATGATACTGCGCTTTCGAAGCATTTTGAAACGCACGTGTGCGGCGTCCTCCGCGGCGGTGCAACGCTGGGGTCTGATGCTGCCCTCTCTTGCTGTAGCGTTTCGAGCCGTAGCGGAGGCGCAGGGTACTTCTTCCTGGAAAAGGCTCTTGGCAGGGCCGTTTCCTCTGCTGCGCGGGGAATCGCCTCCGTCCTTGCACCGGCGCTGCGCTGCGTTTGGGGCTGGCCGGGCAAAGCGCAAGGAGTCCAACGCCAGAGTAGGGATCGTAGCGTAAGCCGGGCTGGACGGCGACCTCGGGTTTTGTTTTTTTCACCTGGAATGCTTTCGGCAAATGAATCTCTTCTTGTTCTTCCTTGTCAGACAGCTCTCGCCGAGAGCAGGAGCAGGGTTCGAGACCGGAAAGGTGTTAGACGTGGCTCGTGGCCTACTGGAGAGCTGCATTTAAGTCTAAAGTTGAAGTAGCTCTTGGTTGCCTCTCTCACGAAGCCTCCTCGCCCGTGATCGCGTCTCTGCTGTGCTCCGTTACTGCCAAGCTGCCCGAAGCTGAAGCCGTTCTTACCTGTTGGTAGACGGTGCTAAGGCAGGGGGTGAGCGATGCCCTTGGGAAAGGACGGGCTCGCGCTGGGAGGCATGGAGCAAGGAGCCGGAGCGGGCAGAGGGGCGCTGGGGACGGCGGAGAGCCGCAGGCGAGAGAGAACGGCGTCTCTAAACACAGCGCCGTTGCAAAGCCCCGAGGCTTTGATGCGGGTTTGCCTTCCCGGCTGCAGCACAGATTCCTCTTTGTACTCCAAGCTGTTAAACAGATCTTGGAGGTAAACCTGCAGAACGCTCTTTCCGCTTGAATCTTGTTCTTTTTCGCCGTTCGCTTGGTACAGACGTTTTCGGTAGCAGGGGTTGAAATGCAAAGGGCCGGAGCTACCCGGGGCGACGCAGTTGTTCCCTTTTCCGAGGGAGTCACGTAGAGCCTGGGGAGAGATCACAAAATCCGAGGGAGGGAGTTAGGAAATTCGGAGATGGGTGACCACACGCGCGCGCGGTTTCTTGCCACGCGCTGCCTTTAAAGACACTGTGTGGTCTCTTATCTACGTACGCCATCTGCCAGAGATTCCTCGGGCGTCTCAGCTCTTGACGCAAGCTGGACGAGCCCCTAAATCTGCAGGGGAGTAGCGTTGGCCCGGATTCGCGGTCAACGTTACGACAGCTGCGCTAGGGCGGACCAAAGATCCATCCGGACCCGGTATCCTGGCTCTGACAGGGGCCAAAACTGTATGTATAGGGAAGAATATACGAACGAAATGAGCACGTGGGATGCTCGTCACCCCCACCCTGCCAAGGCTTGCCTAGCCTCCAAGCAGCTGGAGCACTTCTGGGCCAGATGTGCTCGTTCGGCTCCTCATAAGCTGCGGGAGGTTTCGTGCTCGGGCTCCCCGGACGGATGCGCGCGAACCCGCGCAGGGTACGTAGCATCCGCGCTCCTCCTGCAGCGCGGTGTCGCCCCGATGAGTTGCCCGTCGGTCTTCCCCCGTCCCCTTCGGTGGCCTGGAGACCTTCTGCTCCGTGACCGCAAATAGCTTGTCGCAAGCAGAGCGAGGGCAGGAGCCGGGTTTTTGGCGCTCGAGGGTGCTGTGCACCTTCTTTCCGACAGCTTTGGCTTGTCCCGGCCGTCCTGCCGAGTCAGCCTGGCGAAAGGCAGTCGCTGCGGCTGCAGATGCTTTTTCCCATGCTGGGAGAGCTTTTTCCCCCCTCGTATGTGGTCTCCAGCGGAGAATCTTGCTTTGCCTCATCTGGGTTTCATAACTGGTTTCCCAACCTTGGGGATCTCTGCGGATTTGGCCGGTTTTATCCTGTTTTCTCTATTGTTCGTGCATCTTCTGCTTGCGTTTCTGCTCGGGATCGTTTGCAGAGAGCTGCTTCCCGGCGCGCGCGAGAGAGCCCGGGCTTGCAGTTCCTGCCCAGCAGAAATTCAGAGAATCTTTAGAGGAGGGAGGACATCTACCCTCTAATTCAGGCTCTCCGGCTGCTCTCTCTGCTGCGCTGAGGTTCATTTTTACCCATTCTTCTAACTTTTAACAGCCCCCACCCTTTATTTTGGGGAATGTTTTCAAGCCAAAAAGGTCGGGGATGTATTTTAACATCATCTTCTTCCAACCCGCCAGCCGGCTTTGTGCTGTATCACCCTGCTGCAGCCCTTAGGGACCAGAAAGCCCCCGAGAGCTCAGCGTGAAACAGCTGAGATGTGGGACTGCCCCCAGAATAGTTTCGGAGAAGTGAAATTGCAGGCAAGGGGGTTCCCCGTCTAAAATCACGCTGGAGGCCGGCTGGGGAAAAATATTTCAGCGACTGTCCAAGCCCTGCAGACGCGTGCTGACGTCTTGTTAAAAGTCCTTGGCCAACTCTTCAGCCTCGATAACTTCCCTTCCGCGTGTTTGGAGCGCTTCGCTAAATACCATGTCTTATGTAGAAGCAATGTGGGGGTTTTTTTTAATTTTTTTTAATTTTTTTATTTTTTTTACATATGTATTTTAGAAGCACAATCAGCTGCTTGGGGCTGTTGCCGCCCGCAACGCGCTCCGCTCTGTTGAGCGAGCAGTGGACTGCTGCTTGCTCTGCCTCGGAAAGACGTTTTATTAATAAAGGTTTTTCAAATAAAAACTTGGCGACGGTAACGTGGCCTAGCTGGCTGTTGGCACCCAGCTCTGTCTCGCCAGCGTTGTATTCGTACGGAAACGGTGACAAAGCGGTGACTGTACCGGCGCGGCGGCAACGCTAACGCATCCCTTTTCCCCAGCCGGGGCTTTTTGGTCCTGCAGCTGGAGCTTTGCAAGACCAAAACTGCAGCCTGTTAATCCGGGTGGTCGTTCAATGCCTTCGATATACGCGGGTTGCCGGTTTTTGATGATGGTGTCGTCAACCGCGTTGCTGTAAGAAACGCTCGTGTTGGTCCTAGGTGGAAGGACGGGATGGACGTGTTTGTGCTCGCTCTGTCCCCGGCAAACGCGCGAGGAAGAGGAGGGAGGGCACGGGACCGGCCGCGGTGTTGGTATTCCCCACGTCCCGCCGCCGCCGTCGGGACTTCCCGGCTGGG